CCTAACGATGTAAGTAGCAGGTTTTCTAATATTTTATTTAACTTCAAACTCAAATGCTTTCAATTTTTAACATTTTAATTACTTACCCTGTGCTATTCGAGAGACCAGTTCCACCGTACACACTTTGGCTGGACTGGTATGCACCTTGCTGTGTTGCGTATCCGGAGGACAAATATCCAGTATTTGTATTGCTACTGCATTAGATTATGGTTGTCAACATTAATGGAAAGCATTAAAGCCAAAGGCAGTGTATTGGCGGCGGGAAGAAAGTGAGAATTTTGTTTGGGATAATTGTTAAGGGGTCATTCATAGTACAAAACTAAATAAGCAATTGTAAGTAATTCAAACGAACGTATAAACACATACGCAAATTAAGAAAAATAACAAATATCAACAACAAATAATTAACTAATAAAGCGAAATTTAATTGATTAAATGAATGAATCAAAAAATACGAAATAAATCAAAATGATTTGTCACTTACTTTGCATTGCTATTACCACCGCTGCCACCAACTACGGGAATGTTTTGTGTCGTATTGCCACTGCTGCTACCTCCAACATTTACAGCGCCCCCTGTTACAGAGTTCGATGCTGTCTGGACTGCCGCCTGTTGCTGATATGAATTCATAGAATTCTGTTGATACGCTCCGTAGGACTGCGGTTGGTATGTATTAGCAACAGAAGACTGTAAACGAAAGCGAAATAGATTTTTTTTTTTTCAATGCAATGGAGGCATTCTCGAAGCCTTGCAAAGCCCTTGCTCGGTACATGGGTTATGAGGCTTTCACATAGGAAAACCAGTTTTCAGTGCGCAATGCATGCACCGTTCAAGGGCTTTACAAGACTTGGAGAATAGCCCTAATATAAACGCACGCCGTATAATCTCTTTTTCTGGGTTACCCGAAATTGGCTTGCGTACGTTTGAATTTGATTTCACTGAGCGACACGTCAAATCAAAATCTCAGGCAAAACGAAAATTGGAATTTGAGTTAGCTTTTTACGAATGCCGTTCAATTAAGTTGATCGCATAAAAGTTGTATGTGCATGAGATATTTTTGACAGTAAAATGCCGGCGTGCGTGAAAATTAGGTTAGGCTGTTACATAAGAAATAGCACAATTCACATTATAAGCCAAATATTTTAATCACCTGTACGTTAGCATAACTACTACTGTTATACACTTGTCCGCCAGCAGATGGCTGGTAGGCATTTGCAGTCTTGTTGGCAACCGAAACGCTGGTTTGATAAGCGCTCGTTTGATATCCACCAGCAGAGTTCGTTGCACTCTGCGACTGACCATACGGATCGCTCTTAGACAAATCTAATGTGTGATTAGAGGTACCACCGACCGATGAGGCACCACCACCAACACCCACGCCCACAGCAACACCACTTCCCCCGCTCACAACTTGCTGTTGCTGTTGTACAGCTCCTGCACCACGTTGTGAATAGCCACTTGACAATGCATCACCCTAAATTATGGCTGTTAGTAATGAAAACGTAGGAATAAGTTGTTTACTTACAAGTTGTGCACTTTGCAGGCCTGCCGTTAGTGAACTTTGTTGTTGTTGCACAGTTGACTTGCTCTGATAATCAGTTGTAACATCCTGCTGTGATTGTACCAACTGTTGGGACTGTGTTTGTTGCGGCTGCTGTTGTTGACCATCCATTGTCACTGACGCTCCAAACTTCTCGGGCAATGCTTCGAAAGTATCTTCGGTGCCGAAGTCAAGGCCTCCAAATTGCACATCCAAGTAGCCAATATTATTCAATGTGTCACCTGGCATTTCCACAGCTGTCGATGGAATCTAAAAACAATTTATATGCAAATAAAATTCCTCATAAATGTTTGCTCGTTTGCCTACCTTCGAAGGTGGTGGCAATTTAGCACGTGCTCTTCGCACTTGCGGCTGTTGCACCCCACTCGAGAGCTGTGATTGATCAGCGCCGGCTACGCCGAGTCCAGCGGTGGCTGCCGTGGTGACCGCTGCTGCTGAACCAAATACATTTGCATATGAAGTTGGATATTGCACAGCGGCAGCATTTTGTGCATACGTCGTTGCCAGCTGCTGCTGCTGCTGTAATGGTTGCTGCGCTGCCGCTGCAGCGGCGTTTTGCGATGTCAAAGAATTGAAATACTGAGATTGCTCGGCAGAGAGTGTAGCAGAAGCTTTGATTTGTGATTGCGGCTGCTGCTGTTGTTGCTGCACTTGCTGCACCAAGTTTGCGGCCGCCGTAGCAGCATTTGAAAATGTATCTGCAGCGTTGCCGTATGGCGCAGTACTAAGAGGCGTCGACAGAACCGACGGTTGTTGTTGTTGTTGCTGCTGCTGTGGTGTCAGCGGCTGCGATTGTGGCAGCTGTGAACTGGTTACAGCTGCACTATATTGCATCATAGGTGTTGTAGACACTGACGCAGACTGCACAACTGTTGAACTGACAGTTGAGTTATCTTCAATTAGACCACTGCTGCTGCCGCTAACAACTCCAGGCACACTGCCGCCCGTCACCCCAACCGAACTGCCAACGAGCGTATTCAAATGAGATCCTTGCTGTTGCTGTTGTGGGGACGTTGCATTGCCTACTAGCCCCGAAGTGCTCAAATGGTGCTCTAGCCCGGGGGGCGCTGATAACTCACTTGTACCGCTATTTACTACACTACTCACACCACTAACACCACCGCTAACCACACTTGCCGCCGTCTGGTTTGGCAAATTGCTCGTCGTGAATACTTTGCTATCTTTTAGTGAACCTACATACTCTTCATTATCCCAATCGCCCCAGGCATCATCTTGCAATTGTTGCTGCTGTTTCTCGGCATTCTGAGCTATAGTATTGTCCCAAAGCTCTACCTCTTGGTGATCTTCATTTGCGCCAGAGCGGGAATTGTATCCACGCTCGCCACGACCGCCAGTGCCACGGCCACCTCCACCGAATCGACCGCCGCCCCGACCACCGCGGCCGGCATAACCACCACCACGACCACCGCCACTGCGACTACCACCACCACCTCCGCCACCTTCTCTGCGCCGATAATTGTCATTGCGATCATCCCCTCCGCGTGAATCACGTAAATTGCGCTCGTTCTCGCGAGCCTCTCTGCCGCGCCCTATATTAAAATTTATGAACGCTTAATATCAATTCTATAGCATAAATAAGCATGACATTCTTACAGCCACGGCTGTCGGTACCACCGCGACCACCGCGATTGCTGCTCCGGTTACGTGACTTTTCGCGTCTGTCCGTATTGGCATTGCTATCAATCCATTCTCCATCGCCACCAGCATTCTCCTGCCCGGCACTTGCAGCTTTATTCTTTTTCTTCTTTGAAGATGTCTCAAATGCTCCCTAATTTGCAAAAAAAAATAATAATATTAACACATTTATTTAATTCAACATTTTGAACATACCACTGGAAGTGTCTCTAAAAGATATACAACAGCACGCTCTAAATCGTTATCGCACTCGTATAATGCACAACAGACTTCCTCTTCGGAACGCTGAGTCATCTCTATGAGTGTGGCGACTTTTTCGCGCATTTGCGGATCCTCTGATGTATTACTATTGGTGATCTGGGCAATGCGCAATTGTTCAGCAGTTGGCTTAAAAACAATAACAATTATTTTAAAGTTTCATTTATTTATTTTATTTTTTTTTTTTGACTCGTTCTTAAGTCGCTTACCTTTGGGTGAGACTTTTCTTTTTCTGTCTTAGAGACATCTGTTTTTTTATTTGACGTCTG